TAACGCGCTCTATCTGCCCGTTCCCTCTAGGCACCCCTGTTGTTGATATTACGTGCTCTATTTTATTTTCATTCAGCATATCATTCCACTTGTTCGCCGTGAACGCTGGGCCTCTGTCTGTTACTATACGCTTCGGGAACCCAAATATGGCAGACCACCCAGTTAACTTCTTGATGACTTCTTCTTGCCCAGTTGACTTGGTTGGAAACAGCCATACAAACTTGGAAAAAACCGTCAACTACAGCAAGGATATATTTGTACTGCTTGGACGTCGCATCCATTGGACCCAAATGGTCGATGTGCAACGTGTGAAGCGGCGTATCCCCTTTCTCGATGCAATGCAAGAACCCTTCTTGCTTTCCCAGCTTTTTGTTATAAATTATGCATTTAACGCAATTAGCAATTAATTTTGTTACCTTACTTTCGAGATGTGGTATCCAATACGACTGTTGAATCGCGTGCATCGTCTTAGCTGTAGAGAAGTGACCTGCTTCGTGGGACTGCTGAATTACCTCTCTTTCCATCAGTTTTGGAACGACGAACAACTCATTGCCTTGTACGAGCTTGTACAACAGGTCACCTTTCAGTAGAAAGTTTTGATACGGATGTTCTTTTAGGATTTCGGTGATCGCTTTTACGTAATCATCTGCCTGCTGAGCCTTTTTCATTCGTGCTGAGAGCTCTGCTGTTATAACCATACAATACTGCGGGTACCGACTTAGGTAATCGACATGTTTCATCTTTTCACCAGCCCGGTGCTCTACCACGAAACTGAAATCCTGAAGGTACAGGATCCACTGAGCGACTTCTCTCGGTACATCGTTCTTGCTCGTCGTTTGCTTAAAGGCAATGCAGTCCGTGATAAGCTTAAAATTTACCCCCAGTAAATAGTGGCGAAACTTTTTGCATGCCAGGTATGCTGCCTTGACCTCCAGGATGTAACTATGCTGCCTAGATTCCGCTGCCGATGCTTTCCTGCTCCAAAAATACACTGGATGGAGCTCATCATTGAACAACTGGAGCAGAACTGCCCCGTATCCCTCTTTCGAAGCATCCGTATGAAGCTCAGTTGGTGCCCCTCTCTGATAAATGCGTAAAACCGGTTCCTTCGTAAGCATTTGCTTGAGCAAATGTATCGACTGTTGTTCTGCGGGTCCCATCTTAAATTCGACGTCTTTTTTCAGAAGGTTTGTTAACGACCGTGCTAACTGCGCGTATCTGGGGATAAACTTCCTGAAGAATCCCGTAAGCCCGAGAAACGCTTGGATGGCTTTGATATTTTTCGGTGTTGTGAAACGGCTGACGGCGGTAGTTTTCTCTTTTCCAGGCGATATTTGCCCATTTTCAACAACGTGTCCGAGAAAATTTATGCGTGATTGAAAGAAGCTACACTTCTTCCATTTTATCTTAAAATCATATTGCGAAGCTATCTCCAGAACCTTCTTCGTTTTCTGCATACATTCGTCCGCAGTGGAGGCGTACACAATAATATCGTCCATGTACAACTGCATGATGTCTTCGTTAACCAAGTCTTGGAAGATGTGATTCACAAAACGAATAAACGCTGCTGGGGAGTTCTTAAAACCGAATGGTGCCTTGTTGAACTCGAAAAGCCCTTCGGGAGTGACAAACGCCGTATACTGTTTGCTACATTCCTCCACTGGCACGTGAAAGAAGCCATTCTCTAGGTCCATTATGGTGAAAAACTTAGCTGCTTGCAATTTTCCCAAGACATCCTCGATCAATGGAACAGGGAAACAATCTTGCAGCACCATACTGTTTAGCTTCCTGTAGTCGACACAAATACGTAGCGTTTGGTCTTTCTTCTTCACAACGACCACTCTGCTTGCTACATTCGATGATGACCTTTGCACAACGCCCTGTGTCAACCACTCATCTACTTGCTTTCTTACGGATTCTGCTTCGTCGGCTGATAAACGACTCGGCGACTGGCGAAATGGTTTGATAACACTATCAGGTACAATCTTCAACTCTACAGGGCATTTTTTCAGCTCCACTGTTGAATTTCGGTAGCGTTGTATAAGCTGTTCTACACTAGTTTTAAATTGCGGTGGTGCTATAACGGGACAGGAAACTTCGGTAATGTTAAACACGTCAGCATACTCCCACCTCGATGCTTTTTCAGGTTCCAGGCTTGAAAATCTAAAGCCGTGCAAGTCAGCCGAAAGACGGAATTTTTTAGTGAAGTCGTAGCCCAACAGGGCCTCACAATCCATTTTGTTGCTTGGAACAATCACAAATTTGTGTTCCGTATGTAACTCATCGACTATGATGTCTGCAGTAAAATACCCCAGCGGCTTTGTAGCTATATTACCTAGTCCACGCAACATGGCCGAACTCTTGAATACTTCAATCCTTTTTATTTTCTTCAGCACACTTTCATTGACGATACTGACGTCCGAGCCAGTGTCAATCAGACAGTTAACGCTTACATTATTTACAAGAATTGTTTTGTAGCGGTTGTTATCAACACACATTCGCACTTTGTTGGACTTTTTTGGGCAATTAGGAGCAATGTGTCCACTTTCATTGCAATGAAAACATTTAGTTTGCGCGTTACATTCCTTTCTTTTGTGTTCTGTCGAACCACAGTTGAAGCAAAATTCCCTTTTTTTAGCAGGCGGCAACTGTTGTTTCACACTTGTGTTCGCTTTAACCACACTTAGTTTGTTTTCGTTCTGCATTAGCCGCTCACAAATTTCGTACTCTTCTTTCAAATCTTTGTACGATTTGCAGCGATACATGCCTGCTTTAAATTCGCTTCTTACACTGAGTCCATCAACAATGTAGCGCAACACTGCTCCAACTTCAACATCACTTAAAGCAGCTAAACCTCTCATATGCAACATATACTCGTGAAATGTTTCATCTTTTTTCATTTTCCGTTCTCTTAATTTTAAATGCACATCTGCGCTACTCATATTTCGCTTGAATTCTTCTATTACGGATTTTTTTAAGCCATCATAGTCATTCACGGTCTCCGCCTCTAAAAACAATTTTGCAGCACCGCGCATTTTGCCTCTAGCGTGCACATACTTTTGTTTTGGAGTGTGTTCGTAAGCGTCGGCGTTCTTATCAAAAATTTCAAACCACTTTTCAACTGGCACTGCATAGCCGTCGAACTCGCCCACCACCTTATCGAAATTTTCAGCTGAAATGTTTGTTGTTTTTCGGCGTTGTTCATCCGCTTGCACTTTTAGTGTAAGCAGCTTCATCATTTGCTCAATCTTTGCATTTACTTCACTATACCCGCTGCTATCATTATTCGATTCTCCCTCTCCTCGCGGCATCGTTACACGATATTCACCTTCTCCGTCTCTTTTTTTTCAACTTCGTTTAGCTCACGCTCAACCTTTTCCGTTCAACTTTACGGGAAATTTCCAGTGTGAGGTTATTTTTTCGCAGCGGTACTTATATACCTACTTATTTTCGCAAATTTATCTGCGCGGTTTCTGCTTTACCAACAACGACCGCTAATTCTTACACCAGTAACTGCGCATGAAAATTTCTGCCTAAAATTTTTGTTCAATGCTAATAGCTCAACCTTTCGCACACAGGTTTTCCGTTCAATCTTCCTTTTTGCCTACAATTGGCACAACTGTTCAACTTAAAAACTTTGCTACTGTTCAATTTAAACTGTCTGCGAGTTGGTTCCTTTTTCTCACTACATATAACACGGTTTCGACCGGCACGAGCCCCCAAAT